TTAGTGAATGGTTATCCACCAAAATTTATACAACAACATATGAAAAACTTCTTCATGAAATATAATGCAATGAATGTGTGGACTGAATTAAATACTGAATCGTATCAACAGCTACATCATGAATTACATTATAAACCCACAAGACGAGAACAAAAAGTTCAACTTGAATCAAATGGTACATCTTTTAAAAAGCCGACAAACTATGAACATAAAGATCAAATATATTTGCATTACACATTCGAAAGTGGCCCGTTAATAAATTTCAAAAAAGAATATCGTCAAATTTGGGAGAAATACTATGTCTATCCAGGTTCACGTTTAAGAAATACAAGACTGATTCATGGTACAATATTAAATCGAACATTACAAAGTCTTTTAATTCACAAGAAACCAAAACGAGATATATTGACGAAAATGGAATCTACAGCACAAGCAGCTTCTCGAACGATTCAATAGCTGTTACCTTATTTAATCATTATAGGAAAGTGTTATAAGCATTGTATTTCTTCATGTTTATCGATTTGTTCATTGTATATTATATATTTGCTTTAATCATTTTTTTGTTCCTTTTTCACATAACTATGAACTTGCATATTCTTGCAGTTCATATTTTTTCTCTATCTTTTTTTTTGTACATATCCTTGCTCTGTAACTCTTTATCTAAAACTTCAAGATATCACTTGTTCATTCATTACTTTATTTCTATTTCATATTTCATAAATATCTCTATTTTTTCTCTTTTATTGATACTAATATTTATTCACAGTTCATCTTCAACACATATAGAATAATGTTCAACAATATTAACGACGACTTTCTTCCAGAAACACTAGAAGACTTCATTTTAGTCCGAGCAGCGGAATTAGCACGAACAAATGTTAGTGCAGCAATGGACACGATACGAGATGGTATGCCATCGGATTTTTCAAAAAATCGCATCAAGTTCGTATTATTGAAACATTTTCTATTCTTTCTTTTGTATTATTGTATTATTAATAGTTATTTAAAAGAATTGAATCATATATTTGTACGAGAACAAGAAGAAAAAATGAATCGATTGGAACACCTTATTTTCAAAACATATGACTGGTCTGAATCATTTCCGGATTGTACACCTGCATTACGTATGTAGAAATACCAAACCAAAAAAAAATCAAATATATCATGCAATATAAATTCCTAAAAATAATTCTGTATTTATTATCTTATTCTTTTTTAACTGAAATTTAGGTAGAGCAGTAAATCGATGAGTCAAACAAGAATTGCGTCGTACATCAGGTGCCAAATGTTTAATTTTAATTGGACCTTCTGGTACTGGGAAAACAAGCTTTGCTAAATCGCTACCAGGTTATTATAATTATTTTGATGGACAATGGCGATTAGATACTTGGGAAAATTTTACATCGTATTCTATTTTCGACAATATCGCCTGGGATGAATTCGAAGAAAAAGGATTTCCAAACAAGAAATACATATTGACACAATATGGATATTTTAAAGTATGTGACGAATATATATTTTTGCTTATTTCTACTTCAATGTCAACTTTCTCTCAACATAATTTCCTCATAAAACAATTTAGATACCACATGAAACAGGAGTACTCATTGAGATAAACTGTACACAACCAGCTATTGTACTTCTAAATCAAGGCCTCCATGAGGGATAATTAGGGCGTCCACCAATCACCTACGAAGACGAACGTGAAGCAGTGTTCTGGAAAGAACATGCAATAATCTATCGAATGGGTCAGTACACGTTTTTATTGATCTAACCGAATTCATATCATAGTATACATCCTTTTTCGGTAAACAATAGGTCCCAAAGAATATTTTCACAAACCAGAAGACCCACAACAGACTATCCATCACTAACAAACAATCAATTGATTCAACTTCATTCATTCAATACTACTAATACCAGGCATTTATCAAAAAAATTTACTTAATACTGAAACCAGAGGCTGGCTACTACTTCGAACAAAATGGAAAAAATATGACACATTACTTCCCTGTTTGAACTTATGTACAGATTCTTCCTGTTGTTCTATGTAACATGTTCTTTCTATAAATACATACAAAATCAACAACTATGCAAACCGATTCGCTAAACTTCTAGTTTCATATATGTATCGTAACTTTTCTCTATTTTTAGATACATATTTAACAAAGCATATCTGAAAAATCACACAACACAGAAGTACTAAAACCATCCGCCATGCATTCCAAAGCGAAACCAATCGATAAGTAACTTACAAACTCACTTTTTCAGTAAGTATATACTAAATTGTAGTTCGTACAGGTTAATCACCAACCTACTGATCCAGCTGTACTTCGAATACCCAAGTTATCATCTGAAACAACTTTTAGCATTCCTCCACCAACCTGCACAATCAAAGGTAACAAGGTACCGACATACATAGAAACACAAACGCCTTAAATAGAAAAAAACTACAACAAACACCACAGTATGAAAACTAAACGTAAAAAACACTCTATAAATTACAACCCAATTTAAACAAAGAATTTCGAATATACTGTAGCCAAATATTCTACATCTTGTATATCTTTTATTTCACTAAAAAAAATTTTCTCTCCACCTACCAAATAACACAGAGAATAACTTTTTACATTATTGGAAGCATTATAACTACTACTGTGACTTTCTCATGATTAAAAAAAATGAATTCTATTTAGCTTTCGAAGCTCTCACTAACTCTCGACTATAGTCGTACATACTAGGAGAAATATTTCAACCGAAATCTCAAGCAATTGATAAGTACTTGTTCAGCACTTGTCGAAACTGGTCTTGCTAGCTACATAATTTGATTATATCTATTAGAATTTTATTCTATCAACACACCCCACAACCACACCCACACACCCTTTAATTCTTTTATTTGTTCTCTTTTCTTCGACACACAGAATAAAAGCTTCTCCTTCCTTTCTCGTTTTTATTCTCTATTGACATTTTTCTCCGGATCTTCTTTTCTGCCTTTCTCTCGCATGCCAATTGGCATTAGTTTGCCATTTAAATACACTTGACATACACCATTTCTGTAGTTGAGTGCAAAATGACACCAAGCATTGCTGGGCATAGAATGTCCGGTGATTCCATATGCACCCTCATCAGTCCAGACATGCCAATATTTGTCAATCCAGAGACCAAGTAGGACTTTCATCTTCGGTGAGCACGAGTGAACATCGATCAGAAGTCTGGTGAAAAGCTCTGGACAATGAATCCAGAACGAAAGAGAGAAAGATGGTTCCGTGAGGATGTTTGGAAGGTCACGTTCGCAGTTTACGTTACCTCGGGCAAGAAAGCCAATGATTGCACCTTCGGGTAGATTCTGTATGCAATCATTTTCGGCTTCGTCGTCACGCTTTGAAACAGAAAATGTCAGAGGTGCATGTCGAGCATAATACTGAGCATACAATTTATTGAGAAAGGTCTCATCATGCAGAATTGAATACCATAGACGAGAGACAGCACTGTTGACACGTACTAATTCTCTTGGAGAAGTATCGACGCGAACAAATATCTTTTCAAGAAGTTCTGCAGCGAGAAATTCCATGTTTCAGAGGATTAGTAGAGCAAATGAGTGACTGCAGCGTCAGAAAAAAAGAAGGCCGTATAACAAAGGAACGTGCAGCTTTCTAATGACAACACTTTATTCTTGTTCGACGAAAAGATAAGAACCGAGCGGCAAATGTCAATAGAGAATAAAAACGAGAAAGGAAGGAGAAGCTTTTATTCTGTGTGTCGAAGAAAAGAGAACAAATAAAAGAATTAAA